TGAAAAAAAAGAAGAAAAAAAGGGCGATAACAGGCCGCCTCGCCGCCATCGACATAGCAAAACGGCAACTAGGCTCAATGTGTCCAGAGGCGCAGCCTATTTTTAGGACCCGATACACCACCGCTCCATCCAGATGAACACCGATTTCGACTCTTGATCTGGTCCGTGTGCTGTGCAACGCTGGAAGCTCGCCTTGGGCCAATCAGCAGCCGAGCAGAGCCGGCATGGGTGTTGGAACGGTGGCCCGACAGTGAAGCAATTGTCTCTGTCTCTCTTTTACTACCTGGCATAACGTCGAAGAGCCCACACAGACATCAACGTCGTCTTGTTGGTTCAGGTCGGCGACCCAACCCCAGGAACCAAACAACAGTCAACCCAAACAAGAGAGTGAACCAGACGATCGAGCCCAAGAGACCCTGGCCAAGGCATCATCGGCTGTCTGTGCCCGGGAGGCGTAATTTAGCGGCTCTTCACCACCTCCCTCGGTTCGACGACAACGTTGAATGCTTGTCCCCCTCGTTTCTTGCGCGGACGCCGCAATCCTCTCCCGTTCACCGTGATGATGGGTCTGATGGGTTGCGAGCGGCACAGTAAATTGACAGCTCATTGCTGCTCCGGTAACAAATCACGTTGCCTGTGCCTCGTGTGTGGCCGTTCCAACGTCTTCCGTCATGGCGATGGACCGGGCAATATAGAAACAGCAATTAGCCTGTGTTCGCATAGCTGGCAGAGATGCGACCAGGTCAGCTCTACCGCAGCACACTCGTCTGCTGAGAGGAGAGCCTTCCCTCCCAACTCTCGCCTCGGCAGGGATATTGCGCCGCATCATGCATCGTTCTCGGCATTGCGCTCCGTCAAGGTGAGAAGAAGAGGAGGGGCTGGACAGGGAATGCGGCACGGCCCCAGCGTAACGGTCTGACCCCCTTGCCTTGTTTGCCCTGCGAGTTTCTTCCCCACCTCCAGATTCCTCCTTGGCTTCTATCCGTGCCTATCATCACATTGTCCCTTTTCGTCCACCTCAAGCTCTAGGCAAGTTCCCACCGAGCTTTTCCACGGCACTTGCAGCCTTCGTTCCGCATCCTGTGGTGCAACTTGGAGACTGCCGTGCATCGCCCGAACAGGTCCTCGTCCATGGCTGGGCTATGCGAGAGGGCCACATCATTGGAACTTTGCGAGGCAGAGAAGCGGGGGAGGCAGCACACCATTCCCTAACTCTTGTGAACTCCAAGTTGCCCGTGCTGCATGAGCAATACCGATGCAATTTCCTCCTGCAGTCGTTGACAGAGGGAGAACCTCCTCCGACATGGGACAATCGGACGAACTCGGATTCCTGCAGGGTCGGTTGGCTGATATCAGATGAATTAACCACCATCTCCTGTTGTTCACGGCGTCGCGAGGCCGCCGCCGCGCGGAGGTGATGCCTTTTCCCACGAGGTGACGGTTACTTTCAAGGGCCCCCAATCTCCAGCCCGACAAACAGGATATCACGAGAACTAGATCTGCCGCTCCAGGCCACCATCGCATCTTGCCCAGACTCTAATAAAAGATCCTGAGCCGTGCCCCGGGTTTGGGGAAAATCATAGCTTATTGTCACTCTTATAGCCAGGTGGTATACATCCAACCCGGCTTGCATCCGTACCAACCTTATCTGATAGTGACAATGAGCATCTAGTGATACACCAAGTGATGACATAGTCGAGCTGAGCTCACCAAGGCGAACTCCGAATGCAGCTTGCGGCATCTTGCAGAGTGGTACCGGGAATTTTCGACGGCGTGATGCATAGTTGTCTCTCTCCTCTGAAGGTTCGGCAACAAATAGAAAGTACACGACAATTTGTTGACATCGTCCGAGAGACCACGAGTGGAAGCGCGCAAGGATGTATCTTGACCAGCATTCCTTTGAGCTTTGGCGCAAGCAAGACGCTGCTACCGCTGACAAAAGAACGCCAGATGTTTGGCGGGGAAGGACGGGTGCCTTGATGTTGAGAGTTTCGATAGTCTGTCTCGCATCTGCCTCCATGACAGCATACAGCAATCTCGGCAGTATGCATGCATAAAAGCTAGTACCACATACTGTAGTCCCGACGTTGTCTTGTCGTGGATACTGTTGTGATATGCGAGCGCGCCAACAGTAGAAGCGTTCCCGGTTTGGTAAGACTATGGAACGTTATGCAATACGGCTCCGCTCCGGCTTGTCAACCGGCGCTGGCAGCCGGAGTAGCATTATGAGTGGAAAGTGAGCTGAAAATAGTCGCCAATAACAGGTGACCATTGAGGTCCTTCGTCGGCAGCAGGATAATGGACAAAAAGCACCTGGCCAGGAACCAATGAGGGGCAGAGTCTGCGCCGTATGTCAAGCAAATGAGCCGGCTGAGCATATCCGAGCCGATCTTGGATGGGTATTGGTATACCCAAACTCTGAGGATGGTCTACTTGGTAGGCAAATAAGCGGACGACACCGGTTCGGCAATAGGTTATTGCTTTGATGAGGGGCGCTCCGCGCCGTCAAGGCCGCGCCGGGGGACCCGATTGCTGACCTTCGTCCGCGAATTCGCCGTCGGGCCGATCATTTGGTGAGCTTTTGCCACGGGGCGCTTGCATATTGCCACGGAAAGACTGAAAGGTAACCGTCTGGCAGGTCAACAGTGTGTACTGACCTGTCTTGCTGTCAGTAAGAACGAACCAAATAGGGCTTCATGGCACACCACTGCAAGTAGACCAAGTCGGTGTAGGGTAAAAAGCAGGTCCGAGAATGCCCCAGCAACTTCAGCCGCGGAATGGCGCCGAGTGGGCTCCGAGATGTGCCAGCAAACCGGGTTCGGTGCAGACGCCTCGTCCGTGATAACGCCGGGCGCTGAATGAGCCTCGATTATGGTCTGTCCAGTTCTCCCGGGACCCATGGCATTGGGACGGGTAGCATGCTCGAAGAGTGTTTGAAATGCATCTCCAGGCCATAAGCTTACTTGTGCAAAAGTTAGGTCTCACCACCACCTTTGTCGCGCCAAGATGGTTGGGGGCTGGTGTCAGCCATGTGGTAGCAAACCCTCCGAATTGGTGACGCCCAACACCACCGGCACTTGCTGAACGGCAGTAGCGCACCGCGCATTTCGACGGGATAACAGGGGAGTGTTCTGGTAATTGTGTTCCCAGGCCTCTGTCTCTCACGCCCATCCTCTCTGTTGATGGCGTGGGCCATTGGCTGCTGTGAGCTGGCAGTAAAGTTGAACGTTAGTGCCAGAAAGGCAAGCCATCCAGCAATAATCGCCGACTCTGCTGCAACATGGTGGCAAAGCCTCAAGAGGATGGCGAGGAGATGAGCCTATTTGACGCTTTGCGACCCCAAACCCTTCATGTGATGAGCGATATGCGGGTGGGGGTGAGTTCTCCGTGATGTGCCTTTTCCGGTTACTCTTGCATGACAGCTCATTCAATGAGACAGCGTGCATACTCACCGAACTGTTGAACAGTCGTCGTAACGAACGGCACAGGCGTAGGCTGGGTCTAGCGGAGGGTGACCAAGACCTCCAGGTCCCCGGCTGGGAGTCGAATCGCTAAGGGGCAATTCCACCAGAAGAAAACAGCCTGAGGTGATTTGGAAGTCTGTAGGTCTCTGGTTAGGTGTCCAGTGTCTGACGGTCTCAGGAGAGCCTCGATAGTCGGAAGTCGCGTGGAGCCGAGCAGGTGGGTGTTGAGAAGGGTCTTTTCAGGCGAACCGTGCTGCTGACTGTGTGCGTAGGTAGTCGCATTCCTCCCATCAGCGACATGGAGCAGTTGTACTGTGACTCCTGAAGGCTTGATATCCGGAAATCCGAGGAGCTGGTATCCCGAGTCACGAGGCGGAGGGCGATGTAGATTCTTGTCGACACCGGTTCGGTTGATGAGAGCCCCGTCTCGCGCTCCGCTGTGCCAGAAATGGATGTGCCGTCCTTTTAGAGGCAGTGATCGGAACTCATTGCCTGTCAAAGGGTCGTCCTATGCTGCGATCCCAATACATGGCTGACGGTCCCAAGTAGGGGGCCCGATTGGCCTGGCATGTAGTGGCATCATACTGTCCAGTGTGAGGCTCGAGTAAGGATCCGAGCTGCCAACCAGTCCGGTCTGGAGCTGTTGATACTGTGTCAGCCGATTGCAGCAAGCAGAGGTTGAAGATTTGCACAAGAGGTACCTGTATCAGGTCGTATGTTCATGACGAACCGCCCCGAACATCGTCATTATCTGACTTATCAAATCCTCGCAATAAAACGCAGGTATGCCGAAGTCGATGAGATATGAAACGCATTTTGGGCAGGAAGTTGGACAGCGAAAGGTTTCAAGTAAAAGGGTTCAAAGTTTTCAAGGCAGTGATTGATTCATTGATGTCAAGTGAAAGAGCGATCGATGGTGGTGGTTGAAGCTGCCCATTAAGGAGTTGATAAATCGCTGGCAGCTGTCAGGCTACTCTGTGACAGCTGGTCAGGGCGGCTCGGTCAATCGTGGGGTCAACTGGTCAGGGTGTCGCGTGTGCGCTGTTGGGACTCCGTAATTCTGGATCCATTTGGGCCGGATTTTGAACGGTGTTTGGCCTCTGGCTTTCGGCGTTGGACCCTGCCGGCCTCTAGACCGGGCCCGAAAATTTGCAATTGGAGGATCCCGTCGCGTCTCCTGTTTTCTTCATTCTTTCTATCTTCGTTGTTCCGATTCTTGATTCTGGTGCTGCGGGTTGTTTACAGGGCTGTTCATCGGGGATGGCATGCGTCTGAAAGAACACCATATTTCAACTTCCGGTTCCATCCATCGTCCAATTCTTGTCTCGGGCACTCCCTACGAGCCCGCCGTCCCTGCAACCTACAATTTATCCATTGCGACAGCGCACAGCGCACAACAGACGCCTCCGTGTCCCTTCGAACGTCCTCCCCCTTCGACGAATATAATATACCTTACCTTGCCTACCTTACCGCGCCCGCGCTCCCCTAATAATAGCAACACTCGCCAACGAACGGAACAATATCAACCAACCCAACATGAGCTGGTTAACCACCTTGTCGGGGTATCTGACCCCGGGGTTCCTCGTGCTGTCACCGCTGCTCTCGTACAGTGACCAGGCCTACTCGATGCACCGCGCAAAGTCGAGCGCCGGCTTCTCGCTCGACATACCCCTCATCATGCTTGTGGCCTCACTGCTCAGGTTCGTGGTCCCCGAGATGCCGTGTCTTTTTTTTTTGGCTGCTTCCTGCTAACGCGCCAGCCCTGCAGGATATTCTACTACCCTGGTGCCAAATTCGACATTGCCCTCCTTATACAATCGCTTGTTATGACCGTCATGCAGGTCGTTCTTCTCAAGATTGCGCTCGACCATCGCCCCGCGCCCTCGTCAAAGGGCGGTGACGCTGCTGTCCCCTTCGCCAAAATAAATGAGCGAGAGAGACAACGGCCGTTCAACTTTTGGCAGTGGAGGTCTCCCAAGCCGTGTGTTCCTCTCGACACTATCATAATGTAAAGAAATCGCTGGCTGACGTTGGGAGCAGATACTGGCAGTTTATAATGTCCCTGTTTGTCGGCCTGGTGGCTTGCGAGCTCTTGCTCTCCCCTATTCCGTCGGTGTACCAGGGGTATTCTTCCTTGATCGGCTACATCGGGCTCGCTGTTGAGGCTATACTGCCTCTGCCACAGATTATCGCCAATGCGAAGTCCCGGTCCTGCAAAGGTTTCCGGTTCTCCGTCTTGGCCAGCTGGCTGCTCGGTGACAGCATGAAGATGTTTTGGTTCTTCACCTCCAAGACGACCATCCCATGGGCGTTCAAGCTCTGCGGTATCTTCCAGGCCTGCTGTGACTCCTTTCTTGGGGTTCAATACTGGATGTATGGAAAAGGCCCAACTGAGATCAAGGAGCATGAGCTGCCCAGCACGGCGACTTGGGCCGAGCCCAAGGCCGATATTTTTGCAGGCGGGCGCCGCAGAGGTACTTCGGTGCTCCAAGCTCAAAAGACGACATGAATGATGTCAACGAGTACATAATATTATATAGATCTTGTAATAAATTTTGATGTGATGATTGAAACACTCACGTTTGAACACCACCAACCCATTGGGGGTTGGGGAAGCCAAGACCCGCATCGCCTACTCACTCCATATGTGCAGGGGCTCTGTTAGAACAGGACTTCTGATCGATGGCATCCTGAACTCGCCGTGGCGCCGATATGGTCCTTCGGTCCCTAATCAAGTCTGCTGGTCACTTGCATCAGAAGGCTGTTTTATGTCAAGATAGATCCAATGCCGGCATCTTGATGATAACTTGCAAGGCTGGCTTTCGAGGCTCCAACTGTCAGGTTCTTGGCAACCAGGCGACCAGTCCCTCTTCACCCCTGGCTCTCAAAGTGGGGCTAGAAACACCAAGAATCTCCAGCCTCAGCGCTGGAGATTTTCTCCTTTTCCCATGAAGACATCACCTCTGCAACAGCCAGTTTAAGCCCCATCGCGAGTCCGAGAGCAGCTGTCGCCCGCCAGATTAAGAAGCGTTCACTTTAAGCAGTTGGCATTTGCTGCAAAACCCGACGCCTTTGATGAGGTGGTAAGTGTCCACATGTGGTCCTTTATTGATTTTGGTCACCACAGCGACTGACCCATTTCAGTTGCAGCCTTGTTCACGGGCTTGTTTAAACATATGCAGCTTCATACAACAATCCAATCGCCAGCTCTATCAGAAATAAGCATCAGTCTTTAAGTTATCGGTTAGTTGAGTCTGATTTCTTTTCATCTCTATAACAAAATACCTCTCAACTTGGAGCAAACTTTTGCTTTTTTCTTGGCTTCCACTGCTACCCCTTTTCTTACCTTCAACATCAACACTGCAAAAGTCATCGCAGCATGATGTTAGCGCAACATCAGTGTAACAGCAGCCTTATTGGCTACTGTGCCTTTCCATTGACTACCATCAGACATTCCGATTGAAGTCTACTGGGCACCTACGTAGAGCAATGCATGTCCATCTCAGCATTTGCTCCATGCCTTGTAGTATATTCACCCCTTTCGTATACCCCTGGCTGCCCGTCGAGTCCTCTATGGACAATGACAATGAAGCAAAGCACCTAATTATCTATCTACTTGCCTGAATAGCTTGATTGAATGGCAAGGGAAAGATGAGCAGACTTAGCTGCTCGCTGCATAGTCTCTACCGCACGAGTCTGTGTCTTTGCTTACCTTGTCACAAAGTTAGAATAAGGAGATAGACAAACACCTAGTGGTATAGTTTGTCACGGCTTAGCATGAGTATTCTTTTCTCCCCACATAGTTCATCTCAACATACAGAGTGTCCCTACCTTCACAATCTTGAGTTTTTTTAAGACTCATCTTGACAACATCATCGAGCTAGCTTGACATGCACAGCTTAAGTCGTTCATCTCAACATACAGACCGCCTTTCTAAGACCCATATTGACGCATTATCCAGCGAGCTTCAGTCGCTCATCTCAACAAATAGACCGCAGCTGCCTTCTTTTTCTTCTCAAGACCCGTATCGACAATATCATCCAACCGGCTCAGCCGACGCAGCTCAAGTCACGCAGTTCAACATATAACGCCGGCGCATTCTTTTTCTTTCCACGACCCATATCGACAGCTTCATCCGAGCCAGCGGCGGACATATCTCAAGTCCCACAGTTCAACATACAAACCTCCGACGTTATTTTTTTCCTTTCTGAGACCCATATTAACGACATCCAGTCGTCCGAGCCGGTAGCGGACATAGCTCAAGTCCCATCCCATTGTTCGGCATACAAACCGCCACCGCATTTCATTTCTCTTTAGGACCCATATCAACAACATTGTCAACCCGGCAGACGCATTATCTTCTTTTTAGAATTCATATCCACGGCATCGCCGTGCCGGCGGCGGCCGCAGCTTCAGTCCTGCATTTTAACACACAGACCGGCCCGCGCCCGTTTCTGTTCTCCCACAACTATATTTATCTCAGATTCTGCAGCCCTGTCCTTCTTCTGTTCTTCTTTTCTCTCGTAGGAACCCAAGCACTGAGCCACCACACCAAGGCCAAGGGCAAAACACCATCACCGCTAGGTATGTACATTATTTTGTTTACTATCCTCCTTTTGCCCCATTTCCTTTTTGCCTCTATCCCTTTTTTTTTGCCTCTATCCCCCTGTCATCTCCTTTTTCATCAGAGCTTTTTGCTTCGTCGGAGTTTCTTGATCAGAGCTTTTCTCTTCGTCAGAGTTTCTTGATCAGGGCTTCTTCTTCATCAGAGTTTCTTCGTCTGAGCTTCCTCTTCTTTCGATACTTCTCAAGAGTTTCTCACTTGGGGCTGAAGAATTTCTTCGTCGGAGCTTTGGAAGACATTACCGCTTGGCCTCAAGTCACGATCACCGCCAGGCTCCAAACAGCTGGCTCCAGCTCGATACTGCTGGCTTGGACACCCACGTTGTGGACAACATACCGAACTGGACACTGAAAAAGTAAGTCAACGGAGGATGGTATCTTGATACGCCTTGGAGCATGCTCAATGGGCCTCGGAAGACAGTTGATAGGCGTCCTTGCTCTCTTTGTAGGCCTATTGACTATCCTTTGAGGCCTGTTGACTATCTTTCGAGGCCTATTCCCTGTTTGGAGAGGTGTAAGTTTACTGTCAGTATACGCTTTGCTAACTCGCAGTGCCAGTTATTCTGTCCAGAGCGTGACAACATCTGAGCCAGGTGGCTACCCCTCCAAGCCAGCAGCATCGAGTTCGAGGAGCTGTTTACAAGCCGCAGTCATCGATCGTTCTTTCCATCTAGAGTCCTTTGGCGGAATCCTGCTCTTCCATCACCACGTGATCTATTTAAGCTATCTCCCCCCCTGCCAACTTTCGCCGGATTTTCCTTTATTCACCTCTGCTCTCTCCCCCACCTCCCTCAACTCTACAGACCGACCTTCGCGTCTCTTCTCTTTTCTCAAGATTCGATCACTGGCTCACCTTCTTACTTTCTCAAATAAACAGCTGCGACTACACCTTGCCTCTCAAGCGACCACATCCAACTCTGCTCGACCGACCTCGCCCTCCCGCCTACAACTGGACATCTTGGCTCGTACACATCATCGTCAAGATGTCGCGCAAGGCCGATTTCAAGAGTACCGAAACCCAACAGCGCTTGCTCGCTGCTCTCATTGCGAGTCAAGTCCAGAACATGTCTATTGATTACAAGAGTATGTTTGTTTCTTTCTTCTCCTACCCTTCCCTCGCGTGACCTTCACGTGACCCGCCCTGAGCCGCTCACCGCCGGATTGTTCTAGACTTTCGGGCTGTAAACAGAGGGCTCATTGCTGGGCTCGGCGCATCTTGTTTTGCCTTGGAGTCTAGAGCAGTCACTAACGTCGGTGGTTGGTGGGGTGAATAGAGATTGGTGCCATGGTGGGCATGACCGCCTCGGCCGCCGAGCACCGCTTCCGTGGTGTCAACGCTCAGGCGAAGGGTCTTCGTCTTGCTTATGAGCTTCATAAAGAGGGCCGGGGCCCTCCTCCCTCGGAGTATGATTTCACCAAGATCACCTCCAACGTGTGGGGTAGAGGAGGTCCTCGGGCTGAAGGTGTGCTTGCTTGGATCCAGATGACATTACATGACTAACACTTTGTTTAGATCTCCAGAAGTACTTTGGTGCTTCCACGGAGCAAGGTCTTCAGTACCACTTCAGAGCGATCAAGCAGCAGGCGAACGTGCTTAAGGAGGCCGTTGAGAGCGGACAAGACCCTGCCGACGCGTTTGAAGAGTATCTCCAGAACGGCGGCCACAGCGTTCGAAAGGGCGTCAGCGTGAAAGGCGGCACCACCAAGGCTGCCAAAGCCGCCACCGGAGCCAGAGCCTCCCCTGCGAAGCCTGCTCCCACCAGAAAGCGTGCTGCCGCCGCACCTGCTCCCAAGACGCCCCACAAGTCCCCCACCAAGAAGCAGAAGGTCAAGGGGGAGCCGGACGTCACCTCGCTCGATGATGAGCCCGAGCTCATCTTCCCCCATGCTGATTCCCCCGCCTTGCCCAAGGTTCTCGACTCACCCGAGGTTGTCACCTCATCCTCCGACGTCGACTCGCCTGAAGTTAACTACGATGCTCTCGACGAGGAGGCCTCCAAGCCGAAGGCGAACTCGCCCTGGAAGAAGATGGCTGGTCAGATTGGTGGGCCGGGCCAGTGGTCGAACCTCATGACTGGCGAAAGGGCCAAGTTGAAGTCCAAGAACGACCAGGTCGTGGCCCAGCACGCGGCCAACGGCAACGTTATCGATCTCGACTCTTCCTCTTCTCCCGATAATGCGCTCCCTGGTCTCCACGATTCTGCCTCCTCTACACCCACTCGCCCCCAGCGCATCAAGAAACAGGGCGGTGCTCAACCCCCTAGCACCCCGGGCTTCAAATTCGACAACATTGACATCAACGACGGTGGCGATGAGGATGACGAGATGGAGGATGATGACGAGGATGATGGTGCTATTTGAGCAGCATCTTTTCATCTCACAACAACAACAACAACAACAACAACAACAACAACAACAACAACAACAACAACATTGAACTTTGTGTCGGATTTTTTGTAAAAAAGACACGCTTGCTGACGACACCTTTTATGCCGTTTGCTCACGCCCATGATCGATTTTTTTCCGGCGTTGGTAAACGTCTGGAGGAGGAAGGAGGAGAAGGTCATGGGATAAGAGGGTTATTAGGGCAGTGGGAGGAGGCAGATAAGGGTTGTGGTTAATATAGAGCGTTTTTTTTTGATATTTGATTTTATTTGTCTGCGTTGATCTTTCTGTTTATTTGTCTGCGGTTTTTTTCATCTTTTTTTTTGGTTTTTTTTTTCATAACCCCACGCCCATCGCTTTTTCACTTGGTATGGGCAAGAGGATATAAATGAGAGGAGGAGAGAAGGGGACAAAAGTGGATGGGGCGTTGATTTCGATTTGTGAGGTTATGTATGTGTTGATCATTGCGGTGGCTGGGACGGGGACATCTACTGCTCAGACGATGAGGGTGGGGAGAAGGGATCATAACACCTCAGTATAGGAAAGGGAATAAAGGTGTTGATTTTTAACTTTGGCCTGAAAGTGGTGGTGATGTGATTTGACTGTGGATGTTATACATTCTTTGAGTGAGTTGCGAGTGAGTGAATGATGTAACTTGATGCCGTGACGCCTATCATTAACATTCAATTTTGGGACGGTTATGTGTTATGTTGAGACGATTATGTGTTATGTTGGGACAATTATAGTTTATGTTAACACGATTGTGTTGTTGTATTGGGACGATGATGTGCTAATGTACTGGTGTGTCAAAGAAAGGGGCCATACATACAAAATAGGAGAAAGAACATGGCCAGAGATGTAAATGGCACAGCTGGATGAGTATTAAACTGTATTATAACGTGTATTATAATAAGAAAGCCAGACCCAACCTTCAAACTCCATACCGAAAACAGAAAAACATGTGGTATCCGCTGATATACGAAACCTCCCCCTCCACCCCAAACTCAAACCCTCAACCTCGAAGGACTACTCTGCAACCGATCCTGCTGCACCATCAACCCCCTCAACGGCGACCCGCCATTATTATTCCCACCACCACCAGCACCCCCCCTCACAGGCGAAGTAATCAAAAATCCCTGCCTATCATACAACCCCAAACTCTCCACACTATTCGGGCCCGGGCCCAACCCCCTACCCCCCCTACTCGGCGTCCCAAACTGCCCCAAACTCACACCACCCCCCAACCCAGCATACCCACTATGAAAAGTAAACTCCTCCCTCACCGGCAACTTGAACGGTCCTCCCTCCCCATCATTCTCCTTGTTACCACCACCACCACCACCACCCATCACCCCAGGCGACGAATCCGTCACCGTCTCCAACACACTCACCCTCAACAAACTCTGCCTCCGCTCATGCACACTCCCCGGCTTCCTCCTCTTATGCGGCGGCGACACATTCCCCGCCCCTACACTCCCACCCCACTCCCACCCCTCCTGCCGCTTCTCGACCGGATACGCCAGCGGAATAACCTCCCTACTCACCCTCGGACTCCCCAAACTGGTCTGACTGAGTGAGGCGTTCATCGCCCCACCTCCGTTCCCTCGACTCCCCTGTCTCCTATGCTGCGGCAAGGCAGGCTGGGAGTTAGATCTATTATGCAAACCACCGCCCCCGCCCCCATTGGCAACCGACTGACTCCTCTTCCTCCGCCTCGCAGTGTCAACATTCCCCCCAAGCGAAAGATAATTCCTCGCCCCAATCGACTTCCTCTTTTGAAAATTCTGCATAGTCCCCGAAAACCGCTTCGGGTTCTCATTATGCAGCGAGGTCACACTCGAAGTCGACATCTGCGAGTTCATCCTCCTCAGCGAGGCGACAGTATCCGCCAGGGGGATACCGTCCTCATCTTCTGACTCCCCCTCCCCCTCAGAGCCGGCGGCTGTGGTTGGTGGTGGGGAAGTCGCTGTTGACTTGAGGTTGAGCGGGTCAGGAAACAACAGTGAGTTGGCAAAAAAGCTGGCGTTGTTCACCTCTGCCGATCTTTTGAGCACGCTCGCCGGGGCGTTTTCCGCCGAAAAGGTTGAGTAAGCCGAGTCTCTGTTGCCGTTGCGGGAGAGGGAGAGTTGGAGTTGGAGTTGGTGTTGGGAGGGAGACATTTTGATGCCGGGCTTTTTGGATGGGCGGGGGACGTTGTGGATTCGGGGGAGGTCGTCGGCGAAGGAGACGGTTTTGGTGGGGGAGAGGGTCTTGCGGCGTTGTTGGTGTTGGCTGAAGACCGGGCCGGGGGCGGCGGGAGGTGGGAGGATGGGGATTGTGCTGAGGGTGCTGGTTTTTGTGAGGCGGAGGAAGAGAGGGCCGGCTGGGATTCGTGGGATGTTATCATCTTGTTGTTGAATGAGTGTTGAGCCAGGGGTTACACTGGGCCCGGGGGCGAGGATGAGATCTTGGGTTGGGCTTGCGAGTGTCATTCGGCGCTGTATGGTGGACCGTTCAAGGCTTTCTCGGAACAGACCTTGGGTTTTGGGCTGTTGTCTCAACCCAACCGAGATGGTGCTGGGGGAACATCTGTTGATGGACAGCGGCAGAGGAACTGGCGCCGTGATGAAAGGGTCGTTCATGGCAGGCGCTTGGACACCGGCGGCGGGCTGGGGTGCAACGACAAAGCCATCCAACGGCATGATTGCCTTTTTGACCTCGTCTGGCATCTCGTCCTCACTGAAGACTGTCGACAGCGAGGAGGAGATGGAGCTTCTTGGCGATTGGATCACCATCTCCACCTGCCTTTCTGCCTGTTGGGGCTGCTCCTGCGCTGGCTTTCGAACCAGCCCACTGCGACTGGGCGACGTCAGTCCAGCCGGGTTCTCAATCGGGCTCTCCTCACCAGCCAAGCTATCAGACTCAGACACGGCCGACACCTCAGAGTCCTGTCGTTTGTGACCCATCCCCTTCTTCGGCAGCAGGCACTCTTGACTCGTCCCCGCCATCGACACGGTTCGAGCATTCAAGGACCCCATCCTCATATGCCTTCCCCGACCAACACCACCAGTCGCACTCCCGGCCCTCAACCTCTTCTCCGTCGACTTTAAAATCTCCGACAATGTCGAATCGGTACTCTGCGCCCTCGACCGCCTCCTCGCGACAGCCCTCGGCGGTGTCTGAGGCAGCGACCGATGCGGCGGAGGAGGGGGAACAACGCTCGGCTGCACTTGAGGTTGTTGTTGCTGCTGCTGCTGCTGCTGCTGCTGCTGTCCACAACTCCCAACCATAGCCCCAACAGTATGACTCCTCACAATTCCCCCTTGTCCCCCCGTGACAACAGCCCTAGGCGGCTCAGGCAACACCCTCCCCGCCCCATCAGCAAACCCAGGCCCCAACCTCAAACACCCATACCCCCTGATCTTATCACTCCCAAGCCCAATCTCCCTCTCCTTCTCCTCCTGCTGCCGTCCCCACGCAGACACACCGCCGGAAGGATACCCATGAACGGTGTGATGTACCCTCGACAACCCCCCGGTCAACTCCCTCACCGGCCAGGACCCCCTCTCCCCTCTTTCCTTCAACGACCCGCCCCGGAAGAAACTCCGTTTAGGCAGCTCAACCCCCGCGGCAGCAGTAGTTTCGTTCACTAACCCCCCCTCCGCCTTGTTCTCGTCACCCTCGCCCAGCCTCTTCATCTCACTAGGCCAAGCACACGATTGGCTCCTCGAAAGTTTGTTCCCCCCCTTTCTCTTCTTTCTCAACCCCCTCTCCTCCTCCTCCTCCTCCGTCAACCGCCTCAACATCCCCCTCCCTCTCCTCCCCCCCCACAAAACAGGAAGCGACCTAGCCCTTTTCTGCCCCCCCCCGTCAATAGCCATACTCGCTAGACTCGGCGCACTAATCTCAACAACCTCGAACGCTTCCTTGCTTCCCCATTTTTGGAGTCTGCTACCCTCTTGATGGGCATGGGTGGTGATGTGTGACCGTTCAGCTTCTGTGGAGTCACCAGCGCGGATCTCAGGCATGCCGCTTAAGCGGGCGGCGAGTCTGCGGTGGGCGGAGCGTTTGCGCTTGCGGAGGTAGAGGAGGAGGAGGGCAATTGCGAGGCCGAGGGAGATGGTGGTTATGAGGACCATGACTACTATTCCGGTGGCCGAGGTTAGGGGGTTAAGGGAGGAAGGGGGAAGGGATTGGGAGGCTGAGCCGGAGCCGGGGGGGGGGTTGTTGTTTGGTGGCATTTTTTGCTGCTGTTGGAGCTGTGGTTATGATGGGATCCGATTGAAGGAGTGTGGTTGCTAAAGGAGCGT